ATGCGGGGCTCGATCCCAGGACCCTGGGATCATGACCTGAGCCGAAGGCAGACACTTAACGACTGAGCCACCCAGGCGCCCCCAGACCTAGAATTTTAAGCTCAGGCTCTCTGGCTCAAGAGACCATGCTTTTAACTTCTTTGCTGATTGGACTGTGAGCTCTTGGAATGTGCTGAACTGATAGTCTGTTGAGTATTGATTCTTGGTATTTCTACTAAAACTTTGAAACTTATTAATTCTCTTGGAGCAAGACAAGGTTTTGTTTGTAATTTGTGAAGATTCCTAAAGGTAGATAGTGTATCAGCTAATCTCTCAAGTTATATTTATTACAACTAGATTATTATATACAGTATATAAAGTTGAGCAGTTCAATATAGTTTTTACTATTAGTATATATTTCAATTAATTTGAGAGATTTTAAGAAATGGAAATTCTGTATGTAACTTTTATGGTTTTTTTCTACAGTAAAAATGAAATATGCAGAAAATGTTCCCCACAACATGACAGAAAAGGAATTTTGGACACGTTTCTTTCAGTCCCATTACTTTCACAGGGACCGGCTGAATACAGGGTCCAAGGACCTCTTTGCAGAATGTGCCAAAATAGATGAAAAAGGTAGCTGTTTATCCCTGACACACATTAAATTTAATTTGCTGCTCTCTAGTCATAGTGCTGTTAGTGAATTTTTTATTTCTAAGGAAGGTCAGACTTGACCAACTTTTTATTTCATTGCTTTTCCAGGGTTAAAAACAATGGTTTCATTAGGAGTGAAAAACCCACTACTTGATTTGACAGCTTTGGAAGATAAACCATTAGATGAGGTACGTAGTATTAAAAGAATTTATGAGAGGGGTGCCTGGCTAGCTCAGTTGGTAGAGCATGTGATTCTTGATCTAGGGGTTGTGAGTTCGAGCCCCATGCTAGGCATAGAACCTACTAAAAACAAAAAACATACATATTTTTTAAGGTTTTATTTATTTATTTGATAGAGAGGGCGCCTGGGTGGCTCATATGGTTAAGCGTCTGCCTTCGGCTCAGGTCATGATCCCGGGGTCCTGGGATCGAGTCCCGCATCGGGCTCCCTACTCAGTGGGGAGCCTGCTTCTCCCTCTGCCTCTCTCTCTGTCTCTGATGAATGAATAAAATTTTAAAAAAAAAAAAAATAGAGACAGAGAGAGCACAAGTGGGGGGAGGGGCAGAAGGAGAGGAAGAAGGACAAGCAGACTCCCCAGTGAGCACAGAGCCTGACGCAGGGCTCAATCCAAGGACCCCGAGATCACAACCTGAACCAAAATCAGACACTTAACCAACTCTAAGCCACCCAGGCACCCCACAAAAAAACAGATTTTAATTAAAAGGAATTTATGAGATAAAACAGTCTTCCTAGTCTTCAACTAGTTTAAAAATTGCTTTCAGTGTAGATATTCCACTTTTGAGAATATAAAATAAAGTTTTGTTATTTGGAGTGATTTATCAGAAGTGCTTGTCAATAGCACTGTTTGCTATTGCTATTGCTAATTGCCTTGAAAAACTGAAATTCCTATATGACTTGCTAAAACTTTTTTAAAAGAATTTTCCTCCCATTGGTACTTCTGTAGGTAATGTGAAGGCTTAACGTATTTGTGAGTCAAGCTTTATTCTCTGACATTAATCTAAAGAAATGTGGATAAATATCAGTAGGCCAAGAAAAGATAACAAACATTTTTCCATAGCCCAGTGTTTGTCAGACTTTGATCACACCCATGACCCTTGCCCCGCACTAGTTCCAATAAGTTTCAACAGCTAGACCACCAAGTATGCACCACCTACCTCCACATCGTGACTACAGACTTACAGATGTATCCGGTCACGGGGAAAGATGGGATCCCTTTTGATTGAGGGATTCCCTACCTCTCAATTCCATCCCTGCCCTTACTTGTAAGCTAGGAGCCAGCCTTCCTCAGTTATTCTCTTCACACTCAGATATTCATTTTCTTACCTTTCTTTTGGTCCTCTTCTGCTGGCCATATACACATGCTTAAACCTTCCTGTCTTGTCTTTTTCTAAACTTTTTCCTTTATTTTAGTGTATGGTACTCACGAGGTGAGGAAACCAATGTTTAAACTTTTGACCTACAGTCTTTAGCAGAAAATAATCCTTGGTGCCCAGATGAGTCATTTCCTTAATGAAATTGAGTTTTCTTGGTAATTCTCCACATTCAGGCACTTCCTTTGTAAATTTCAGCATATAAAACATGGTCCTCCTTAATCATCCTGAAAAATGAAGCTTTGTGAAGCTTAAAGGTATAGCTTAATATGGGGAAAAGATTTTAGTGCCTTTTTTTTTTAATTTTAAGATTTTATTTGAGAGAGAGACCAGAGATTACAAGCAGGCAGAGGGAGAGGAAGAAACAGACTCACTGCTGAGCAGGGAGCCCGATGTGGGGCTCGATCCTGGAATCCTGGGATCATGACCTGAGCTGAAGTCAGACGCTTAACCAACTGAGGCACCCAGGCACCCCATTAGTGCTTTTAAAAAAAATAAAAATGGGGCATCTGGGTGGCTCAGTCATTGAGCGTCTGCCTTCAGCTCAGGTCATGATCCCAGGATCCTGGGATCGAGCCCTGCATCAGGCTTCCCTGCTCAGCAGGAAGCCTGCTTCTACGTCTCCCACTCCGCCTGCTTGTGTTCCTGCTCTCGCTATCTCTCTCTCTGTCAAATAAATAAATAAATAATCTTTTTTAAAAATGTAATAAATAAAAATGATGGGGCGCCTGGGTGGCTCAGTTGGTTAAGCGACTGCCTTCAGCTCAGGTCATGATCCTGGAGTCCCTGGATCGAGTCCCGCATCGGGCTCCCTGCTCG